ATACACAAGGATGTCATCAAAGAAGACAAGCACTCCCTGTCGAAGAAGTGGCCGAAAAATATTGTTCATCAATGCTTGGAAGGTGGCCAGAGCGTTGGTGAGGCCGAAAGGCATCACGAGAAATTCAAAGTGCCCATCATGTGTGCGGAAAGCAGTCTTTTTGATATCTTCATCTCGCACTCGGACTTGATAGAAACCGGACTTGAGATCGATCTTGGAGAAGTATTGAGAACCATGTAATTCATCGAGTAATTCTTCGACCACAGGGAATGGGGTATTTGTCGGGAATCGTCACTCTGTTTAAAGCTCTGCAATCGATACATAGGCGCCAGGAGTCATCTTTTTTTTACCAGAATTACTGGGATGGAAAAGGAACTTTGGCTAACCCGAATGATGCCTGTTTGTAACATATCATTAACTTGGCGCTGTATCTCATTCTTCTGGGCATGAGGGTAATGATATGGGCGAACACCAACCGGGCCCTGGCCCTTGAAGAGGGTAATTTTCTGCTCGATGTTACGAATAAGAGGTAATCCTTGTGGAGTTTGGAAAAGGGAAATATGTTGGTGGAGCAGGCTATCCAAGGTTTGTTGGTGGGGAACGGTGAGAGTAGTAGGTTCTTTGGTATCAATACTGAGGCTGATTAAATGGGGTTCTAAGTAGTTCTTCAAATCAGAGTGGTTAAGAAGTGGGGAATTAATACCTTTGAGTTTAATTTGTTCCCCTTGCTGCCAGAAAGTGATTTCCTGAGTTTCCCAGTTACAGAGCACATCTCCAAGGCGACGCAGCCACGCAATGCCTAAAATAAAGTTGAGTGGGCCGAGATCGTAAATGAGGGCGTCTATAGAGCAGATGAAAGATCCGAAGCGCAAAGGGACATTGCGGCACTAATTTGTTACCCATACTCGATTTCCGTCGCCCAGGCGGATACCCAAAGGACCGATGGGCTGGAGGTCGAGACCAAGAGCGCGAGCAAGCTTTTTTGAGAGGAAATTGTGTGTAGCTCCACTATCAATAAGGATTAGGGCAGGAAAACCATGAATATCTCCTAGTAATTTCAGTGTGTTCAGATCGGAAATGGAAGAATTGAGTGTGACACCACAGAGCTCGAGGGCATCACATTCGCCATCTGGTGGGGTGTCATCGGTAGTGTCTAAGTCAGCCAGGCGCATTTCACCATCGTCAGTCACCTCGCCACCATCAGCAAGAAGCATGATGCATAATTGCCCTGAAGCGCATTTGTGTTGAGGAGAGTATTTCTGCCCACAGCTAAAACATAATCCCAAACGATGCCGTTCTTCCCAATCGGATTTTGATAAAGGGCGGGTCCGGGTAATGGATGACGAAATGGGTCCTTTTGCACCGGGTGGCCCAATAGCAATAAGGGGTTTATTGAATGAAATGGGCTGAGATGTATCCGACTTTGGGAAGGTCTGAGTGCTCATGGGTGTGGGCGGAGACGGAATACTCCATGAAGACGAAGGACGAGATTTGGTGGACGTCACTGATGTACCAGTGGTGGCGATGGAGACGTGTCTGGAAAGATCCATGGCATGATCACACGAAATAGGGTTGAGAGCTCGTACCCAATTTCGAATCTCCTCTTGTAATCCTTTAAGGAACATTCCAATTGCTTGTTCCTCCGATTGGTCTGGAATGAGGGCAGAAAGGGCTTCAAATTCCTCAATATATTCTTCGATGGAGCCCAGTTGGAATAGGGAACCCAAAGCTTCATGAGCATTACGAAATTTTGTGCCATTAAAACGCACCAGGAGTTTATCACAAAATTGGGGCCAATCGGTGGAAGGATGTTTAATCAAAAGGTTGGTAAACCAGTTGAGGGCCACGACGTCCATACACATCTGGGTGAGGTGAAGTTTTTGAGTGGTAGGTATCTGATTAACTTGGAAATATAGTTCAGCTTTGGTGATCCAGCCTCTGGGATCGGTTCCATCAAATTGGGGTAGTTTAACTTTAGGTAGAGAAAATAGGGTATTGTCAAAGTGGTTTTCATGGATGATGGAAGGGATGAAGGTGGAGCTAGACGGTTGTTGAAGAGGAAGGGGTTGGATTTTGGGTTTGGGGAAGCAGAGTCGACCACCGATTCAGGAACTGGGTGCTTGCCCTGTGAGGAGGATTAGACTATCTTCTCCACAGTACTGGGGAGGTTGGTAATGGCAACTTGCATTGAGGTCATCTGCTTGGAGAGCTCGCGCAATTTATTTGTGAGGTGTTCAATCTTCTCATCTGATGACATAATACGAGATTGAGATCTGGTATTGGCAGTTGGAGTGTCGGTGTGTACCATGGTTCACGGAGGAGAGGGAAGGGTAAGGGCAATGGAACCAATTGATAAGAAAAAGGAAAGAATGGAAGAAGAATCAAAAGGAGAGCTAAATTTATTCAATCAGAGAAGCTCAAAATGAGTGTTCCTGCCCAAGCAACTAAGCCGAATACAAAAACAACCTGAATTTTCTGAATGATTTCCCTATCCCATTCTACTGACATATATAGATCTTATTCTAACTGACTCCCACGTAACAGAATTATTCCTTGGCACGTGAATTGGATCTCCTTCGATAAACCATAAATGGTTTAGACCCATTGGGCTGCTCCACACTGTTGGACTCATTCATTTGTTCTTTATCAGTCAACATAAAAGACACCATGTGCTAATTTTTATTTATTTATTTATTTATTGTAATGGCAAACTATACTCCTAATATAATCCTAAACACCACTTATGTTTCCTAGTGAGATTTGAACTCATAATCTTTCATTTTAGAGAGTCATTCCTTACCACTAGGCTAAAGACCTTCTTATACTAGTAATTTATATGAAAAGTTCTATATTTATTATTATCATATTTTATCCCTAAATCTCTTGTTACGAGCAATCATCATATCATACTATATTATAAAAGAAACATTTTTCCTTTCACCACATTAATTTGAAACTCATGCATTTTTTCTTTCACCACATTCATTTGAAACTCCCATGACTTTTCAATTTCTTTATAATAATAATTATAACTTGGTTAATAAGGTAAATAAATATCAAATCTAAAGTGTGATCATATATAAACTAAATTTCAATATTAAAATAATATATTTACTTCTACTTATAAAGTTATGTTTTTTTTAACTTTTAACATATTATACTTAAATTATTAGTTATAATATATTGCTGGATGTAAATCATTATCATTTTAAATATACAATTTTGGAACAATTTGTATAAAATATTTAAATTATTAATTTGAATATAACATTACTCGGTTAACTTAAATATAAAATTTAGTTTAACTTAAACAACCCAAAGAATATTTTGTAAACAGTTAAAAGTGATTAACTGTAGTGTCTTTCTAATAATGATTATAAGTTGATTAATAAGGTTAAATAAATATCAAACCTAAAGTGATAAATATACTAAATTTCAATTTTAAAATAATATATTTACTTCTACTTATAAAGTTATGTCTTTAACTTTTAACATATTATACTTAATTTATTAGATTTAATATGTTGTTGTATGTAAACCATTATCAGTTTAAAGCTACAACTTTTGAACAGTTTGGACAAAATACTTAAATTGTTAATTTAAATATAACATTACAATGTCAACTTAAATATAAATTTCAGTTCCACTTAAAAAACCAAAGAATATTTTGTAAATAGTTAAAAGTGATAAATTGTAGTGATAAATGCAAAAACTTAATTGTAATCTCAATTTAAGTAAAAAATTTCCTAAAGATATTTTTATAATCGTTAAAAGTTTTCAATAAGTAGCTTAAAATAACTTACAATAACAATAGTTAAAAAGAACTCTATATAAACGATTATATTGTTACCTTTAAAATATAAAAACAATGTTTGATGTTTTAAATAATTATAATGATAGAAATTAAAACATTAAGCAAACAAATTTTAAAAAATTAATTAACATTAACAACAACTATAAATAACATTAAACCATATATTATATTTAATTTTATTTATGTGTAACTCGCAGATAGAAGTCATTCAAACGATTGAGATTATGCAGTTATAATAGATGTATACATTATCATATAATTCAAAATAATCAATATATTATCTCAATTTAGTATACAAATTATTATATCAAATTTAACAACGTTATTACTATATTTTAAAAAAACATATATTCGTAAGGACTTCAACTATATAGGTGTTTCTGTATAACTCGCGGACATTCGCCTAGTATTATTATATTATGATGATATTCATGATTCGAATGTAAAGGTATCTATTTCATTATGGATAAATTAACAAAAGACCACAACTATTCTATTATGATTATCACTTTGCTTCCCACTCTTGCATAAATTTTATATTTTGGACGATAAAATAAACGAGAAACTGAATCATGTGCATATTTTTATTTAGAGGGGCTTATTTGTAGTCAACGATTATAATGTTTTTAAGCCTAGTGCTAAGCGAAATATTGGTACATATCTCTAGGCAAGCTGGTTCTCACTTGATAAGTATATTAAATTAAAAAAATCATATATATAAAACTTTAAAAAAACATAAATATATAATGCATAATGCATATATATAACTGAAAATATTTAATCTTAGAACTTGGATGTTCATTAAACTACATAGACACTAATATCAAACAGAATATTGTATAATACAGTTAAAAACATCAATATATATGGTGCATTTTCTAAAGGTTGAAACATAATATGGTTACTAGTGTTGACTCTAAAAGACTCCACATAATACCATGAACACCCCTAGCAAGACCTGTTAAAAATGGTTCGAGCATTGGCAGGGTGGACAAACTTAAAACTTGGTTGCTGTTTGATAATTAATTAAAAGTTTATAGGAGTCCGACGTCCGTGAAACTTTTCAAATTATTGGAACTTAAAATCCTTACGACGAGAAACTTTAAATATAAAAAGATGAGTAACTGAATAAGATATATAATAGCCGGTTGCTGTAAAACAACAATTAAAACAACAAAAGACCATATTATATTTATATATAGTTTAAAAGAGCAATACAAACAGAAATCCTTACACCACCACGTGTTTTACATAATCATCTCCACCCACCTACCTGGTATCAATCAACAAGGATGAAACAGTACTTGTTTTTACTTTAAGTGGAACCCCAGGTTTAGGTTTATTACAAAATGAAAATACAAACAATAATTTATGAGAATGAGATAGTTTTTGCATGAATAGAAAGTCGAATGGCTCCTGTTTTCCCTCACTTGCAAAGGGAAACGAGAATGCGGCGAGGAGGCTTTATTAGTGGACGTCGGCTGTGAAGAACCATCAAATTATTAACAAGCATGACATCACCTTTCTTCCAAGGTATTGCAACACACTCTTCTTCAAGGATTCTCAAACAGTCTTTCATGGCAGAATCCGACAAAGGTTCACCATTCCCAAACTCAATAGATCTGCTGTCATCATAAATTTCAGCATTCGCGGGGCCACCATAACTATTTGCGAGACTATTGAACCATGTTTTTCGTTGACTTCCTTTGTCAAATCTTATACCTGGCACCGGACCTGTTATAGTTTTTACACTATTTCCCATCCATTCAAGCTTTGTTCCCAACTTCGCTGCCCTGTAATTATAGATTAAAATAATGTTATTCTTGTATTACAACTTTGTGTAGCGAAATGTATACAAACCTTTCCTCTGCAACATTCTTGTCATCGGTCATGTATGCGGACTTCCAACCGCTGCCAGTGAAAGATGATGGAAGATCCTCGTCACTCATTATTTTTGTGTACGTCAATCCATGCTCCTCAAGTTTTGCAACGAAATCTGGGTGCTTCTCTTTCATCTTGTCGTAGATGATATGACTCAAAACAATTGGAGTTTCTCCCCCGCTTCCTGGTGCTTCCTCACAAAAGAAAAATAGCTTCGAGGGGTAGTCTGGAACCTGTTTGCATGCATGACGTATACATTCATCAGTCAAATGTTTTAAAGAGGAAATGAAAATTTTAAGCAGTGGATGCATGTGAATAGATTCAAGGAATTTACGTAAGCCATCTCGTGATGGAAAGGAATAGTCTTATCCTGAGGAGCTTCGTTTGTGGTGTAAATCCGGCCAAGGATTTTGGTTCGAGAGGCTCGGCCACCAACATAGAACGCTTCAGGGAAGCCAAATGCCTCCACGACATCGTTCATGTCGGAAGTAGAGCTTACAGGGAAGCCTCTGAAGAGGATAGCACCTCTTTTCTGGAGAAGTGACTCCAGCCATGGCTTGTGAGCTTTTATGGCCTCTTCAAAGCCATTGAGTTTTGCTGTTGAAGTAAAATCAGCGTTAGAGATTGGGGATAACACCGCCGGGAATAGAGCGCCATCGCTGTCAGGTTTTTGCTCAGGTAGTTCTACTTGTTGGAAGATATTGCCTGAGGCCATTTTGATTGTGTTGTGGTGTAGTGGGATGCTTTTGCATGCTTCGTAGATTGGATTATATATAGTGATGATCACAATCTGTTCTTGTATTAAAAAAATGGGAATTGGGATAATCACAAGAATCACATGCTTTGTATCTAATAATTAATACATTGATCTAAGATGATAAATTAAATGATCGACCATATGATATCAGTATTTGGGCCGTGAGCCCGTGAATTGTAAATTGTTTCTTACCGTAAAATAATCTTACAAATATTTAGAAGAAATTTTCAGAAAATATCTTATTTCAAAGTATTATTAGAAAATTGTTTATATTTTATAAAATAATGATGTTATTTTGCCAAAACAATCAAACTGCAAATCATATAACGTTATTTTACAGAAAAAAAAACTGAGTTTTTTTACATTATATATCTGAAATTATAATAATTTTTGTACACAGCGTTTGTCGGTCACTACAACTTTAACACCCTATGGCGACGACGAATTCGGACTCTATCCCGACGACATGTCGTCGGGATAGGGTATGCCAACGACATGTCGTCGGGATAGAGTCGTCGGTATAATCGTGTCGGCATAGATCAATAGTGTCGTCGGTATAGATGTCGTCGCGATAGCTTCACCTATGGCGACAACAAGTCGTCGGGATAGTGGCTGGAACGAGGTCGCCGGCGAACAACTCGCCGGTGGGAAGGTTGAGGCAGGAAAACGAGCGGTGGTGCTTCACCACCGGTTAACTACCCTACACACCAAAAAAACCCCAAATTCGGGGTAAAAATCATTAGCACACATCAATATTCAACGAAATAGTAGTAGAAAAGGTTTACCTGGAGCTAATCACCGGCTAGTTGACGTTGGAATTGGATTTTCGTCGGAGAGAAAGAGATGGCTGCGTCGTTGTGCAAATGAGCGAGGGATGTGCCATTCTTTAGGGTAAACTCCTATGCCGACGACATGTCGTCGGTATAGGGTCAAATAAACGATGTCGTTTCAATTATTTGCTGAAACAAAAAAAAATTAAAAATTAAAACCATATGGCGACGACATGTCGACGGGATAGACCTGGGATGCGGATCGCCACGTGTCATGCCGACGACTGATCGTCGGTATAGCATACACAAAACTACATCGTTTTGTTTTTCTCGCATATATATTAAAAATAAATGGAAAATATATTTTTTGATACCTATACCGACAATTGTCGTCGGCATAAGTGTCGTCTGCATAGGTCCATATCCTTGTAGTGGGTATAGAGTAGTTTATAGCATTTTTTTTTTAATTTGAGCTGTAAATTTGCAAGATAAATGGCATTTTATTGTGATATATAATAAAACTGTTGATCTGTTAACATCTTATAGTTGACATTTTTGGTTTACTTGTGCAACCCCAAAGGTTAAAAGCTTTCATAGACTTATTTAAATTCTTTGTGATACAAGTTTTTCTCGGACTTTTAAAATTCATAAGAAAAACTATAATGATGAACCTTTTTCAATTTGTATTATATTTTTTACGATTTTTTCTTTATATATTTAATATATAAGTGTGTACACGAGTAAAATATCTGGATTGAAGCATACCACGTATTTTTAAGAGAAAATATATATGATAGTCATTTAAAAAAATTACCAGAAAATAGCAAAAAAATAAAAAAGAATACTTTTAGCCATAAATTCCGCAAATGACGTCATCCGCTAAAGACGATATCATCTACGATTTTTTTTTCCCGTAAAATACATTTTTAACTGCAAAAATGCAGGTTTAATCTGCAATTGCCGAAGTCACCGACGAAAGGCGATATCATTATTTTTTTAAACGTTTCACTACTAGAAAAATCCTAATTAGCGACTACATCAATTTAGTCACTAACAATAGAAGTGTTGTCACTAAAACGGTTTGTAACACTTGTTTTCATGACATATATTATTACAGGAAGGGTAATGCACTTTGAAATGTGTTATGGTGTATCATTGCGAAGTAAAAGGAGAATATAACACTTCTTAAAGTAGATTGGTATTGTTGGAAAGGCATGACGCTCCCATATATATGTGCGTCGTGTCGGGTCAAGGTTGTGCTCAACCTTAGTCAACGGTAAAAAGTCGCAACGTGAGTATATTTATTATCACGACGCATTAAGATGTTCGGTGTTGGACACATGTAGCGTGGACGAGACACGTAGTAGGGAATTGAGGCGTTTGGATCTCTGGACAGTTGTATGGGCGCGATGCGCCCATAGATTGCCACAACGCGTTTCCTCATAATTCTTTAATGTTGCAAAACCCATTAGGCTTCCCCAGGGTGAGCAACTAGCGAGTAACGAGTATTCGGTCTAAGCAGGGAGTACTTAGATTAGATAAATTATATGAAATTAATTTTAGGAAAATTATATATATAACAAATAATACAAGTGTTTTAAAACTGAATAAAAAATAGAGGAATATCAATAACAATTAAAGTTTTTTTTTTCTTTTCTAAAACAAGGGTTATTGGAATCGGCGTTAGTTATTAGAATTTATAAAATGGTGTTATTATGAACTCAATAGTAAGCTTCATAGATGAATTCCCCAGTGGAATTCTTGACTTGGTTAACCATGGGGTTTATGAACCATAGTCTATGTAATTGTCAGATATTTTAAAATGAACTGACGACTTACGGGGTTAAGTCGTTATGTGATTGTTTTGGGGAGCTTGACGAATTTGGTAACAAATGGTTACCGAGTTTAGTTGGTGATCAAGTAATTAATCATTGTGGTTGAGCCGGTTGAGTTGCATTATAGATACGCTAGGCTATATAGATTAAATAATTAATCTACTTATATTGGTTGTGAGTAGTGGAATGTTGGTGAAGCCGTTTATGGCTACAAGTAATGGAGAATTGACATAGTGATGTATTATTGGAATGTATACAAACGGTTTAGTTTATGACCATTGAAGTGTATGAAAGAAGTTTCTTACTATATAATATGTCACATTGTATGTCCATTTTATGGTAGAATGCAAACGTACCGTTAATATATAAATATGTGTTATGCTAGAGTAGTCTTGGTGTGATAGTTGTAAGGCAGTATGATGAGGTTGTATGCCTCTGATGAGATGATGGAAAGAATGGTATTATATCGTGAGTCTATACGCCGGAAATATATGGTATAGTTTTGGTGACTGTAATACCATCATTTGAGGAATACAAGTCAATAATGGACGTGGTGTTTGTAACGTTGTACTTGGAGGTGGTTATTAAAATAAGATGGTAGTCTTCGTGATTGTAAAACGATCATCTGAGGAATACAAGTCAATAGTAGACTTAGTATTACTATCATTTGAGGTATACAAGTCAATAGCGAACTTGGTAACTGTAACACTATAATTGTAGGTGGTTGTTAGAAAGAGATGGTAGTCTTGGTGATTGTAATACCATAATTTAAGGAATACAAGTCAATAGCAGACTTGGTGTCTGTAATGCAATACTTGTAGATCGATATTGGGGAATTAAAAGTCAATGGCAGACTTGATATTTGTAACACTATACTTGTAGAATGTTAAGGATAATGATGACAGTCTTGGTGATTGTAGTACTATTATTGAAAGGCTGGAAGTTAATGTTGGATTTGGTGTTTGTAACACTATACTTGCGAAAGAATGTGTTGTAGTGGAAGTTTGTATGGCTGTAATGCCAATAAGGGAAATACTGGTTGGATAAATTGGTAGTTGTGTTGTATTGATACTACCAAGGAGAGGTTACTTGGAAATACTAGGTTACGTGGCTGTAAGTCTATTATGAATAGTTAACGGATGAAAGAACAACTTAAATAGTTGTAATTATGTTTATTGGAGAATTATATACTAACACTCAGTTGGAGTGTATGTTGATTGACTGAAGGGCATATTTCATATTTTATGAGTTAAGAATGGGATGATATATATTTAGTTGTGTAACTATTTTATATCTTATCGTATAGGTTACTCACTAAGCTCGTTGTTGCTTATCATTTTATTGTGTGTGCCTTTCAGGTTCGGGTAGACTTCGTAAAAAGGTTTGGAGTTGGTAGCGTCTGACTAGGATCCTTACACGAGATTATTATAAGATCATTTTGATAACTTCTTGTATCACTTTGTTAATATGAATGCACACCAAATTTATTATGATTTATGATTTGAAAACGAAATTTTTTAGGTGTAATTTCTATTAAAAGTCGGGTGATTTAGTGATCAATGTTTTAGTCATCACCTTTTGTCAATATAGGAATGTCACTAAACTTATTAGAGACCAAATATATAAGTGGTCACTAAATAGTGACTAAAGTGAAGTGGTCACTATTTTTATGATGACTCGTTTTTTCACCAAAAATAATCACTAATCAATGAAAGTCGTCAATGTTTTATCCAATTAGTGACTATAAAAAGTCCTCATTGTTTTATCAAATTAGTGACGATAGAAAGTTGTCAGTTTATCAAATTAGTGACCATAAAAAGTCTTCACCAATATACCCAATTAATGACAATAAGAACTTGTTACTGTTTTATCAAATTAGTGACCGTAAAAGTCATTACTGATTTATTCAATTAGTGACCATATATAAAAAGTCATCAGTAATTTATCAGATTACTAACTATAAAAAGACGTCATCGATTTTTGTTGATATTCTTGTATTTAACCCATTTAAGTAGCCATTTCTTTTTTTGATTGTAGAAATATGAATCATTCTAGATGCTTTAGGAGGAAGCAATTGAAGGTATCACTTTATAAAAAATTTGTCACCGTTAGGGATGATAGAAAGCTATCACTTTTTTTTTAATCAAACTAGTGACAATAAAAAGTCATCACAATTTACCCAGTTAATGACCATATGAACTTGTCACTTTTTTATCAATATGCTGACCATAAAAGTGATGGGTTTTTTAGTTTACAACTAAAAGATTTGCATGGTGGATTTTACACATAAACACTTATAAGCACATACTACCTAGAACTCTATGGCATTTCTGTAGTTATAACAAATGACAAATGATGCATATGAGAGTTTAGAGGTGCATTACC